ACTAGACGGGTGGGGGACGGGGTGGGGCCGCGCGCTCCTACCTGCACGTGGCCCACGTCCGGCGCGGGGCTGCCGGTCCTGCCGTGCACGTTGGGGAGCCGGTACATGCAGGTGGGAAGCTCTACCCGGAGAGATGCGCTGCCTTCGTGATAGGGCTTTACCTGGTACATCGGCATCTTGGGAACCAAAGGAGGCAAGGTGGCGGGTGAGGGACACGAACGTTCAGAAACCGTCCAAGGCCACAACAGACTGCGACAACCGCCTTTCCGACCCAGCTGCGGGCGTTCGGGAAAGCGCAGACCGTGTGCTCTAATTGGCCCGGGCTGTCTCGGCGTCTCGGCGTCGACCTTTCCCACAACCAATCAGCGAGAAGGAGATACAGGAAGCGTTTGCCTCTCTATCCGGAAGGGGCGGGGCACGGCGTTGGAAGCAGCCAATGGGCGCTCTGGAGGCGGGGCCTCCCGCTGTGGGAGCGGCGGCGGGAACCTTCCCTCAGTCCCGGAGGCGGGCCGGGCTCTGGATTCATGGAGGGGGCCGAGGGGCCGAGGTGAGCGGGGCCTGCAGTCTCCCGTCGCCGTCGCCCTCTGTCAGGCGCACGGCGTTCCAGACCCCTGCAAAGGAGGGAAAAGTGGCCACGGCGCATGGCTGGCCCGCGGCACGGAGGCCCCGGAGCGGGCACCGCAGCGCTGCCCCGACGCGCACCTTTTGGGTGCACCTTGAGGTCAGGGGTCGCGGGGGATTCTTACCGGACGCCGCCACACGTCCTTGGACCTGAAGTCGGAGCACGAAGTCCCAGTAGACTGAGTTCATTTCCTTTTTAACTGGTTTCTCTCTTTTTTAAGAAAAAAAATGGGGGTTATTTGAGGGGAGGCTTCAAGGCACATTCTAATTTGCATCGCTGCACAGTTTTAGAGAAAATGCAATACTTCTGTATCTCATTGGGTACGTGATTACTGGCTAGTAAGCTACACCGAATTCGGGGAAGCGAATCTTCGCCCAGCCATGTCGCATTCAGTGTCAGATTCCTGAACCCAGATTCGCTGTCTGCGTTTAACTGTTTTACCTGCACGCTTCACAATAAATATCAGAACTAGCTTGTGGTGTGTTGCCAAATAAACAAGTTTTTAGAGCGACTTCTTTCCATTTTATGTGGTGTCACCTGCCGTTTTCGCATTTAAGATGAATGTGTGCAAGTCTTTGCAAGGTAGAATGAAGTGTAAAGACGTTGGTTGCTTTATTTTACAAAGGTTTATTGAGGGTCTACTCTGTGTTAGATGCTGTGGGAAATACCCAAAGATTTCTCTCCCAGGGAGCCTCGTGTTCTGTTTCATCTAAGTTATCAGTTAAACTGTTTAGTAGAAATTGGTAGATTAACGAACATGCAGAATACGTTTTTAGGATGAGCAGGAGTTTGCCAGGCAGATGATGAAGAGTGAAGCAGTCTAGACAGACCTGTGTAGACAAGGAACAGTGTCTAAAAGAGCCCGAGATGTTCGGGAAACAGTTGTTCACTGTGACTAGGATTGTAGGGGAATTGGCAAAGGGAGGATTGGAGAGAATGAGCAAATAAGGTAGATTGGGATCCAATTATGACTAGAGTTTAAACTTCGTGTGGCACACAGTGAGATGCCAGTAAGTTTTTAAGCAGAAAAATTATTTGATCAGATTTGTGATTTTGAAAATAACTCTGATGGTAGCATGGACGTCGGATTGGAGTGGGGAGAAGGTGAAGACAAACCAGTTGGAAAACTCTTACAACAGATGCAACAAGAACTTTGCCGCCTTTGCAAAGGCAGCAGCTGGCAGACTAGATGTGGGCTGGGGACTCAAAGGCAGCATGGAATACTGTAGTTACACAACTGGTACCCAGTTTCTAAGATGGTTTTCATTTTGACATAAACATTGTGTATTTGCCACCATACTCTTGGCTTTTCAAATTGTGTGAGAAATAATCGCTTTCACTTTTCAAGAAAGAGGATCCCACTGTTGCAAAGGTTATTGACCCATAGCTTGAGGAATACATATGTCACTTTCATGTAGATCCCAGTAATAATTAGATTTTAGATATGCATTGCATTCAAAGTGTCTAGTCACAAGGTTTTTTGGCAGATGTTTGATTATAGAACAACGTTTGTATTTATAAATATAATAAATGGATATGTTGATATAATAAATGAACACGTTAGCCCCACTAACTATTAACAGAGGTGAATCATTTAGACGCAGAGTTAAAACCAGGATGAAAGTACATAGTTGCGTACTCGCTTTGTTTCTCCTACCTGGTTTCTTTAGTACAGAACTTGCCAAGGCCATCAAACCTATTGATCGGAAGTCAGTCCATCAGATTTGTTCCGGCCAGGTGGTACTGAGTCTCAGCACCGCTGTGAAGGAGTTGGTCGAAAACAGTGTGGATGCCGGTGCCACTAATATTGGTAAGTTTGGGAGAATTTTAAACCATGAGAAATAATAGCGTTAGTAATAGCAGTTAACTTTTATTGTGTCCTCACTATGTGGTAGGCAGGCATTGTGCTAAGAACTATAGATGGGTTTTAATTTAATCTGCAGAATAACCGTGTGAGATAGGAATGATTATTATTATTATCTCCATTTTACAAATGAGGAAATTAAGGCACAGAGAATTTACTTTTTTGAGGTTATAAAGCTAGTTTAATATACCTGCAAGTCTGATTCTAGAACCTGTTCTTGTTAATAACTATTTAAAGTCACCCTTTCGAAAGGAAGAAAGAAAACTATTTTATCTGGGCCTGTAAAGAACCAAGAAGGACTTTAAAAAAAATAAAATAAGATGTACAAAATGACAATAGTATGTTTAAATAAATATAGTTATGACTCTTAGATTTGTATTATGTGGGTTATAAAAACATAAAGGCTTTTAGCGTGGATCAGTTTGAGAAATAAATATTTTAAACTTTTTAGATCTAAGGCTTAAAGACTATGGGGTGGACCTCATTGAAGTTTCAGACAATGGATGCGGGGTAGAAGAAGAAAACTTTGAAGGTTTAAGTAAGTTGAATTTTTCTAATCCTATTTTAAAATATTTGAGCAGTGTCTCAAAATTTTGCAGAACGCTGTCGTAGGAGACGCAAAAACAGCTTTTTAAAACAAGTTGCTTTGTGTTTATTCATTGCTGCATCGCCTGCGATGTCTTGAGCCTTACCTTACGCCTCTCTTTCAGCTCTGAAACATCATACTTCTAAGATTCAAGAGTTCGCTGACCTAACCCAGGTGGAAACTTTCGGCTTCCGGGGGGAAGCTCTGAGTTCACTTTGTGCCCTGAGGTGATGCAATGTTTTTATCCACTAACTTGACCCCTTAGAAAAGTCTCTCTGGGAAATTAAAAAGTATGATTAGAATCATTATTGTTTGCGCTTCTCCACCTGAATGTTTCACCTTCTAACGTCTGCATTCTGTTCTGTCTTACTGTCAATCTAAGTGGTAGGATAAATGTAAGCAATGAAATGTGAGCGATGAATGAATGAAATGAAGCAAATATTATTGTGGAAAAATTGTAACCCTTTAAAGCAGTAACTTTTTTTTTAAAGATTGGCACCTGAGCTAACAACTGTTGCCAGTCTTCTTTTTTTTTCCTGCTTTTTCTCCCCACATCCCCCCAGTACATAGTTGTATATTTTAGTTGTGGGTCCTTCTAGTTGTGGCATGTGGGACACCCCCTCAGCATGGCTGGATGAGCGGTGCCATGTCCGAGCCCAGGATCCAAACCAGTGAAACCCTGGGCCACCGAAGTGGAGCGCACGAAGTTAACCACTCGGCCATGGGGCCGGCCCCATGCTTTGGTTTTAATTTATTTTACTGTTCAAGAAGAAATTTAACCAAAGCACTTATTTAATTACATAACAGATTCTAAATTTTTATAAATAATTGTACATTTGAACTATAGTATCTTTTGAATCCTTTTAAAAAAATTTATTAGAACAGTAGTAACATAACTGAGAAATAAATCTTTATTCATGAATGTCTTAGTTTGGGAGTCTTTTATGGTTTTGCGGTTTAACCAAAAAAACAAATGTCAAAGCTGTTATCAAAATAAACCATTCACAGAACTCCCTCTCACTATCTGTGAGGCGCCAGACCTTAGATTTTCTGATGAATCCCCACCCATTTAAACCCTCTTGGTGATCTCAGAGGGACTGTCTTTTTTTAGGAGAGTTTTGAGAGAACAGGAGTGAGGAAATGAGCGTGTCCAACACCCGAGAGTCTCTAACGGACCCTGCCTGCCCCCATCCTCTTACAGCGATGTCACTATTTCTACCTGCCACGCGTCTGCAAAGGTGGGAACTCGACTGGTGTTTGATCACAATGGGAGAATTGTCCAGAAAACCCTCTACCCACGGCCCAGAGGGACGACGGTCAGTGTCCAGCAGTTGTTTTATACGCTTCCTGTGCGCCATAAGGAGTTTCAGAGGAATATTAAAAAGGTACAGTGATTTCAGAATCCCGCTTCCCAAGAGTGTTGAGAGTGTAACGTGAGGATGGAGGCAGGGACCTCCCACAGTGGTTTCCTCTTCAGGGGATTTTCTTCCCTTGGTTTTTTGAGAAGTACTTGGTTTGCTTTTTCCCCTCAAAGATTTAACTTTGGGATAATTTACCCTTTTCTTTTCTTGAAAAGAATCATCTAATTGTATCTATTAGGTGTTCTAAGATGGGAAATGTGTTCTTTAAGAAATAACGTTATTTTTGGATTCTGTCTTTATTTTTCAAAATAAGATTATTTTTCTTGGTTCCCTGAGAAATGAATTATTACGGCTTTTATGATTTGAATGAAAATGAAACAGCTAAATGTTACATAATGGGTGTGTTTAAAAAGCAATTACAAACTGTGTATATGTATATATATGAGAATCTGTATATGTGTATTAGTGTATATGAACTCATATATACTAATATAAATAGTATATATATAATCATATACACTGTATATACTATATGATTACAATTTTGTAAAAACAAAGCAACTGGCTTAAATATGCGTCGATAAAAGGCCAGCAGAGTGGACACATGAATGTTACCAGTGGTAGTCCTTGCATGTGAGATCCTATCTACTTTTTGCTGTCTTTCTTGTGCCTTTCTATTTTGTACATATATTTTTTATAATCAAAAAAGTTACTTAAACATATGTAGCTAAAAACTTTCTTGTAAAGCAATTTTTTTTTTTTTTTTTTAAAGATTTTATTTTTTCCTTTTTATCCCCAAAGCCCCCCGGTACATAGTTGTGTATTCTTCGTTGTGGGTTCTTCTAGTTGTGGCATGTGGGACGCTGCCTCAGCGTGGTCTGATGAGCAGTGCCATGTCCGCGCCCAGGATTCGAACTAACGAAACACTGGGCCGCCTGCAGCGGAGCGCGCGAACTTAACCACTCGGCCACGGGACCAGCCCCCTTGTAAAGCAATTTTTGCTAGTTATAACTTTACTAAATTTTACAAAAATAGGTATTTACTACAGAGAAAACTTGAAAAATTTTCTTTTTTCTTTGAAAATTAAAAATTTTTTGTACAGAGGAAAATTTTTTATTATAATTATTTGTGTTTTATGGTAGAAAATTAATGTCTCAGAAAATGTAGGGAAAAAGACTTGTACCTGCCAGAGACAACCATTATTAACAAGTTGATGTATATCTTTCCAGACTCCTTTTAGTTTCATGTATTTATAAATCTTGGAAAGATTTCAAGATAAATTAATTAACGTAATGAAATCAAGCATTACCGAATATGAAACATTTGAGTAATATGGAATTTTATGTGGTAGAAAGTTGATATTGTCTCTGCCTACCTCCCAGAGTTTGGTTTATAGCCTTAAGACTTTAAATGGGTGCACGTATATACAACATTTATGCATATGTTTCTATTTTCTTAACAATTAGGATCATATTATATATGCTGTTCTATAACTTTTTATATAGTATATTGTAGGTATCTTTTTTGGTCAATTCGTACTACCTTATTTTTTATCATTCCGCCATTATATGGATCTCCATAATTAATTAGCTCCTTGTTGATGGATTTCTCACAATTCCACATTGTTTCAGTGAATGTTTTTGTAATATATCTTTGATTGTTTCTGCCAATCTTTCTGCAAGGATAAATGTTTAGAGGAGGGATTACAGAGTCAAAAAAAGGCACTTTTCGATGTTAATAGCAGTGGGCATGGATGTTTTGCAAATGAGGGACGCGTGGCTAAGAACCAAATCCTCTGAGTTCCCTTTTATACCATGTAGGGAGATGCGATTTGTAAGGCGTTCTGTCAGGAATAATTCGCCTTGTTTGTGAGATGATAGGAGAACCTTGAATTGGATGTCATAACTTGAGCTGTGTAATTCTTGTAAGCTTAACGTAACGGTGAGCCTTGCGTTTGTGTTTTTTGAACAGGAGTATGCCAAAATGATCCAGGTCTTACATGCCTACTGTATCATTTCAGCAGGCGTCCGTGTAAGTTGCACCAATCAGGTTGGACAAGGAAAGCGACAGCCTGTGGTGTGCACAAGTGGAAGCACCAGCATCAAGGAAAATATTGGATCAGTGTTTGGGCAGAAGCAGGTAGTGGTGGCCAGTTACTTAAAACATTTTATTGCTACAGTGATTGTGGTGGGTTTCTATAGTCCTTTCCAATAGAATAGAGAGTAAAATCCAAGAATTGATTTGTGTGTGTGTGAGTGTGTGAGGAAGATGGGCCCCATCAGGCCATGCTATGGCGGTATCCCATATACAAAATAGAGGAAGACTGGCACGGTACCTGCCACAAACATTAATGTTGAGAGCTGAAGGTGTTTTCATTTTATTCTTCCAGAGAACAGAATAGTCCTTTTACTCTCTGAAAAAATATAAATGAATGTGGGCAGTGTATCAATTTTGGTTAAGTAGGAGCTCAAGGGGCCGGCTCCGTGGCCGAGTGGTTAATTTCGTGTGCTCCGCTGTGGCAGCCCCGGGTTCAGATCCTGGGCGCGGACATAGCACCGCTCGTCAGGCCACGTTGAGGCGGCGTCCCACATCCCACAACTAGAAGGACATGCAACTAAGATATACAACCATGTGTAGTGGGGGTTTGGGGAGATAAAGCAGGAAAAAAAAACCAGATTGGCAACCGTTGTTAGCCCAGGTGCCAATCCTTAAAAAAAAAAAAAAAGGAAGATTGGCAACAGTTGTTAGCCCAGGTGCCAATCTTTAATAAACAAAAGTAGCAGCTCAAGTGTTTCATCTTTCTAATAAAAAAATCAAAATTATTACAGCACTGCCAAAAAGCAGCCGTCGAGATTCTTTGCGTTTCACCGTGCTCTTAATGCGGATAGCTTGGCTAGGAAGGAAACCACACAAAACCCCTCCATATCTTCCTTTCTGAAGTGAGTCCATTCTCTGTTTGGTAGGAAATAACTGTGAATCTTGGTTTCTTCTAGTTGCAAAGCCTCATTCCTTTTGTGCAGCTGCCCCCTAGTGACTCCGTCTGTGAAGAGTACGGGCTGAGCTGTTCTGATGCTCTGCATAATCTGTTTTGGTAAGTAGGTTGCTGCCAGGAAATTGCGATCAAACGTTTCTTCTTGAGCTTTTTGGTTTTTTTTGGTTTTAAAGACAGTGATTTCGAGGCTTATAGTTTCTTATGTCCATTATAATACTGTGGGCAGAATTACTGCTGAGAAAGAGGATTTATAGGAAGGAGTCAGTTACTTCATTGAAACAATATTCCGGGTAACCGGTGCATTTTAGAGGGTTTCCTATTGAATTAGTGTTTATAGTAAAGGCTTTGTTTAGTGAACAATTAGAATAACTTTTAATAAATTGCTTTGTGTATAATGTTTCTGTTTATTGGGATCTGGCAGAGAGCGGTAGAGGCTGTTTCCTTTACTTCATGCCTTACCCGAAGTCCAGTCCAGCGTCATTACTTTTAGTGTAAGAAAAGTGGGCATTTTCCATAAGCAGGATTGGCCCTCTGACGGTCCATAGCTCTTACCTTCCCTCCACTTGCCTTTGGCTTATGCCTGAAATTAAAGATGGGGATTAATTTCTTTATGTCCAGGTATTGCTCTTATGGAAATGAGAATATCCCTGAGGTAGATCTCAGGTAGAATAAACACTTTACCGATACCTTAGTAGATCGAAGTTTGCTAACCGAGAACGGATTTTAAAAGGGCAGGGAATGTGGGCAAAGATCCTGATGACAAGTGGCTGGAGTCCCTGGCCAGCTGGTGGGGACAGCATGGAGGTTCTGAGAGTGTGACTTTGGGGTGAGACGCACTCCTTGTGTGGAGACCAAGGATTTCATAGGGTAAGTGAGAGGAGGGCTGATGCAAAGCACTTTTGAAACCCCTGAGTTGCCCAGGGGCACTTGTAGACGATAGGAGCGTTAGAGCGTTCCAGGGGGTCTGTGTTCTTTTTACGATTCATCCGAATGGAGCACAGACGCACATTAACTGGAATGTTAACATTATCAGCGCATCCCCAGGTGTTATGTTTTTATTTTTTACTTAAGAACATGCCACTTGATAGATGTTTCTAATCTTTTTCATTCTGGAACCCTGACCTTCCTGCATTAACATGGAACAGCATCTCAGGTTTCATTTCTCGCTGTACTCATGGTGTTGGAAGGAGTTCAACAGACAGACAATTTTTCTTTATCAATCGACGGCCTTGTGACCCAGCAAAGGTATTGAACATTTTTTTGGTATTAATTTTTTCTCTTTTCTTTTTAGCTTTTGATTTTATTTATTATTTAATAATTTTTTCCGGCACAGACACTTTACGTGGAACTTGGGAAGTCGACTCAGAAACATGGCTTTAAATTATCTTATTTTGGGCACTTAGAAAAGTCTGCTATGTAGTTGTTTGAATTATGTATGTATCTACGTACACATTTTAATAACCAATCAATATATTTATATCATAAAAATTATCACTGTTGGAGAAAGTAAACATTTTGAAACATTCACCATCATCTAGACTTTTCAGTGTAGATTGGCACACATCATATGTTTGTGTATTTTTTCTTCCTTCTGTTTATTTTCTCAGAAAATAAGGGCCCAAATTACTCTGCTTCAAATTTACACTGGTCGTCTTGACATGGTTACAGGGTTTCCAGTGGTTCAGCCTTGACTGTGCATCTTCAGCCGCATTGTACCTCAGTTATAGTTTCTGTTTGCCACTGATAAGTTACTTCTATCTGCCAGATATGGTTCAACTTCTACATTTTTAACCAATATCGTAATTGGTGTGATTTTACGGTTTTTCTCTAATGCCATTTAATTCATCTCCTTCTAAAGTCATCTAAATACATTTCTCTGTACATTCAGTGTGTTTTATGAGCATTTAAACTGCACCGGCGTTTCACTGACCTTTCTTCAAGAACATCTTTAGATTGGAAAAAGATTCAGTTTTAGGAATCTATGATTAAAAATATCTTTTGGAACGGCACAAGGAAACTTTTTTGGTTATGAATGCGTTCGTTATCTTGATCGTGGGGATTGTTTCATGGGTGAATACATATGTCAAACTTATCAAGTTGTGTCCTTTAACTATGCGCAGTTTATTGCAGGCCAATTATAGCTCAGTAAAGCTGTTAAAAATTGTATCCTTTTGGTGGTTGGTTAGAATAGCACGTTGTTGGAACACTGGGGGAAGGGAACATGTATAGGTTTCCTCAACTTTGTTTTTCGTGTAGGTTTCCAGACTCGTGAATGAGGTCTATCACATGTATAATCGACATCAGTATCCATTTGTTGTTCTTAACGTTTCTGTTGATTCAGGTAAGTTCCGCTGAGATTTCACTAAAATTGCTGACTTACTCCCAAAAGAGTAAAATGAAATTATAAAGCTCTGATAGGACTGGAAAGAGACTTTTGTCGTAACAATTAATGGCGATGTATTTTTTTTACAGCTTTTTGTTTTATAGATGTTTATTTTTCACACAGACTTTCCAGCTTTCTACTTGAAACTACGTTAATTGTATTATTAGGAAAATGTGACTTTTTCATGTCAGCCAAGGGAGAAAGAAGACTGAATGTTCTTCTTAATTTTGAAAATAATTCATTTCGTATTCTTCTTCTGATTGTTAAAATTCTGGTTTATTGTTATCCAGTATTTTTTCTAGATACTTAGAAATATCTATGTACACACCTTCAAAAATATATAATGATATGTATATGTCTATATATATACCTTGGGGTGAGAAAATAATTTTGGTTAATTTTTGTATCCTGCTCTTTTCCCTTAGGTTTGAACATTTTCTTTTCCATGTCAGTGAAAATTATTTGGAAACATGATATTAATAGCTGCATTCATTATATTCTAACGTATGGATATGCCTTAAATTTTTTTTTTTTGGTGAGGAAGATTGGCCCCGAGCTAACATCTGTGCCAGTCTTCCTCTATTTTGTATGTGGGACGCTGCCACAGCATGGCTTGATGAATGGTGTGTAGGTTCATGCCGGGGATCTGAACCCGTGAACTCCAGGCTGCTGAAGTGGAGCATGTGAACTTAACCACTGCACCACGGGGCCAGCCCTGATATGCCTTAATTTTTAAACTTTTTTTGCTTTTTAGCTATTTAAGTTGTTTTCAGTTTTTGGAAATTTAAATACAGTTCTTATAATGTAATCTATATCTTTGATTCTTTTCTTAAGATGAATTCCTAGAAGTGAAATCACTGGGTCAGTGAACGTGATTGTGTTGTAGCAATTTACACATCTACCAAAATGTGCTAGGTCTCACACTTTTTAACCAAATTCAATAGGTGACAAAATGATGTATTATTTTAGTTTGCAGTTTTATTATACATTTTCATGTAAACACATGAAAATTTGCTCTTTTCTTTTACAGTTTACTCATTCAAATCCTTGCATATTTTAACAGTTTAAAAAAAATTATTCATCTTTTCCTTGTTTGTTTGAAAGAAATAATTGTATAGTTTATGAATAATAATCTGTACACTGTAACGTTTTTAATAGTATCTTTAGTAAGTCCACGTGAACAGAATAGTAGATGGGGAAATTTCTATTGTCACAGGCGAATTTAAATTTACATGATAAATATCTTTTCTCTTTTACCTTAGAATGTGTTGATATCAATGTTACTCCAGATAAAAGGCAAATTCTACTCCAAGAGGAGAAGCTTTTGTTGGCAGTTTTAAAGACGTCTTTGATAGGAATGTTTGATAGTGAGGTCAACAAACTTAATGTCAATCAGCAGCCGCTGCTGGATACTGAAGGTAAGAAAAATACACGTATATGAACAGCTTCTAAAACTTAGCGCTCTTGTGAGGTGCAGTTTTGTTGACATGAAACAAAATCGCCTCTTTTAGACAGGAGTGGTTATGTCACCCTAGAAAGTATGTTGTGCAGGTTTAAGGTAATCTGATTCAAAAGGGACACAGGCAGCCACATTTAGCACACACAGGGCTATGTTCTTACCAGGACTCAACTTTTTTTTTTTTAATAAACACTCTCCAATTGCTGCAAATTTTTGTTAATTTCCAGAGTTCTGAAAAAGTTGATTTTGACAGCTTTTGGCAGTCTTCTCGTTCTTTTTATGGAGGAGGGAAATTTTGGAAGTCCTTACTGTGCCGTTTTCCCTCCTGTCACCCCCTGCCTTCTTCACTGAGTGGAAGGTTGAAATCAGAGTTGCCCCAAAGCTGATGTGACATATGTGATAATATGCACAATCATTATTTCACTACCTGGTCGTAAATGATCAGCCATTTATTTGAGGAGTTAGTTTTATTCTTTTTCATCCAAACCAGGTGCCTCTGGGCCGTCTGGGAGGGGACCAGAGCTGAGCCCCAGCTGCCTTCCTTGGCAGAGGGAAGAGTGGGCCTTGACCTCCTCTGACAGCCACATCCACTCCTTGGGGTGGATGCTCTCTTCTCTGGGCTGAGCTGCCTCCTCTGATCTTCATGTCTCTACATGCAGAGATGGAAGGGTGGCCGCTCATCACTGTGTCCTCCAGGGGGAAAAGCCTGAGAGCTGTCTGGGGGAAAGCTAAGGTGGCAGATGAGTGTTGTTCCCAGTGAGAGGAAATTGCTCTGGGACGTGGCTTTGTAAACTGAGGGTACCGGGAGCCATAGCCGGGGCTTTAGGAGAGTGGCGAGATACAGAGTGGCTTTGTCCTAACATTTCCTAACCCAAGGCTGGGGAGGGGTCAATTCGGATGGCCGTGGGGCAGGCTCTCAGAGTGCCATGCTGGGCAGTTTTGGTACTCAGGGATGTGCTGGAGGCACAAAGCTCCTGAGGGGTGGGGTGGGGCTGCTAGGTGCTGGGAGAGGAGCACAGAAACGCTGACGTTGGTGTGGCAGAGCCATTGACCTCCCTGTGGTAGGTCCCATGTCTTCCCTGGCCCTATTCTGCATGGGGATTATGGATGTGTCTGTAGGGGGCAAGGGGTGGAGGACGGTGGGTAGCACACACATCTTTGTGGAATGGGCCAGTGGTGGCATCTCTGAGCTCACTCACGGGCACTTTGCCCCATAGAGAGAAAGTGCTCAACATACCTGACCCTCTTGAAGCACAGTTGAATCAGTGCTTTCCTTTCAGCCATTTTATTGCAGTATAGCAGCCACGCAGAAACAAACATGTCTTAAGTGTGTGGCTTATAAGTGTCTCAGCCTGAGATCCAGAAATAGCACCCACACAACCAGCCTGTACCCCTTTTCATACACTAATCCCCCCGTGGTAACCATTTTCCTAACTTGTAACGCCATGGATTCGTTTTATCTGTTTTTAATTTGAAGTCATCCTGTATGTACTTTTTTGTGATTTGTTTCTCTCTCAATATTTTGTGAGATTCATCCAAGTCATGTGTGACAGTTCATTCAGTCATTCTCGGTGCTGTACAGTATTCCACTGCATTTGAGTACCACGATTTATTTGGGCATAGTTGGGTTGTTTCCAGTTTGGGGCTGTAATGAGTAAAGTTGTCGGACAGATCCCCGTCCATGGCTTTCGCAAGCACAGCCAGACGTTTCTCACGGATGTGGCAACGCTGGGTCACAGGCATGCACGTTTAGATTTAGGACTGTCACTCCCAGAGAGTTTACAAAGCGATTCTGCCAATTTCACTACCACCAGCAGTATGTAGCCTTCCATTTGATTGTCATCGTTGTGCGCATTTGTTGTTTATTTAATTTTACCCGTTCCGGTGAGTAGATAGCGGCGTCATATTGTGGTTTAAATTCGTATCTCTATGATGAATGTAGAACAATTTTCGTAGGTTTTAATTAGCCATTTGGACCTCCTCTTTAGTGAAGTGCCTGTTCACGTAAAAACGTCCTCTTGTTCCATTTCAGTACAGTCCCTGATCCTCTCCTCTGTTCGTATCTACTCAGGGAACCTAATAAAAATACACTCAGCAGAGGTGGAACAGCCTTTGCCAGAAAAGCAGGATCGTCCCGCATCGTCCAGGACTCGAGGGGAGGAGAAGCGGGCGGTGACCATTTGCAGACTGAGAGAGGCCTTTTCCCTTCATCACGCGACAGGGAGCAAGTCTCAGGGCCAGAAGGCTGCTGAGCCCAGACGGATTTCTCCAAGACAGAAAAGAAGCGCACAGTTTCGTAGCACTTCCGACTCCCTCTGCCCCCAGAAGCCCGTCTCTGCCACAGGCTCGTCCAGCCCCCGGGAAGAGGCGACGAGCTCAGAGGAGGATGCCTGTGACCGCACGGACAAAGTGGAGAAGGACTCAGGGCACAGCAGCACTTCAGCCGGCTCAGGGGAAGCGTCCAGCACCCCAGAAACGGGCCGCCACTCCAGCAGTGACCGCACAGCAAGCTCCCCTGAAGACAGGTTTTCACAAGAAAATGTGGAGTCTTGTCAGAAGTTACCTGAAACTGGCCATCGTTTTTCAGACACAGAACGCCATTTAGGCCATGAAGATAGTGGATCTAAATTTAGAGTTTTGCCTCAGCCAACTAATCTCACAGCCTCAAACACAAAGCGTTTGAAAAAAGAAGAAATTCCTTTAAATTCTGACATCCTTCCAGAGTTGGTTAACACTCAGAGCCCGTCAGTTTCTCAAGTTGATGTAGCTGTTACAATTAACAAGAAAATAGTGCCCCTTGACTTTTCTATGAGTTCTTTAGCTAAACAAATAAAGCGGTTACATCACCAAGAACAAAAAAGAGCAGGTGAACAGAATTATAGGAGGTTTAGGGCAAAGATTTGCCCTGGAGAAAATCAAGCAGCAGAAGATGAACTAAGAAAAGAGATAAGGTAAACTTGTTTCTTAAGAGTATTTTTGCTCATTTTAGTCAGTTGTGGTGAGTGAACCAAAGGCCAGTCCTTCCGCACTCTGGTTTTGCTCCTCTGGGTGTCCGCTGTTCTGATGGCATCTCTTCTGGCTCGGGGCTTGGGTGTCACCCTGCTTTGGCCCCAGGATCTGGTCCTCTGGCTCCTGCTGCCTGTGAAGACCGTCCTACCCGGGCATCTTCTCTGCACCACAGACTAGATTTATCCTGAAACGTCAGCTCTGCCAGCGCTTCTCTCTTCCTCTGCCCCTCTCCCTTTCTGTCTCCCTTCTCAATGCTCCCTCCCACAGATGCTGATGGTGGAGGCAGCTTTGACTCCACAGATTGGTTGGTGGCCTTACCGATGCATCCTCCGTGATGTCTTTTTCATTCACCAACTTCTTTTCATTGCCTCTCACATCCATCAAATTTATTTTCTGTGAAGAACTCTTTCACTATACCGTTCTGCTGCCAGAACCCTTTCAATAATTTTTTCCTTAGATTTTCTTAGCCTGTCCTGTCCATCAGTCCAAATTAATCAGTGCCTTCTTGACCCCCATTTCATTCCTCTTCCTGAAGGTTTTCAGCCCACAGTGACTTCTCCCTGCATTGAATTCATGGCGATTTTGGTGGACATTGCTGTTTCCCATTTTTCATTTTAACATGTTTTAGGAAAAAATTACAACACATTGTCAAACTTGTGATTTCAAGAAGACTGCAGAGGATAAGAGGTAAAAAAAAGGAGTCAACTTAAAGAAAAATATTAATGATACAGATAATAGAACACACTAGTTATCCCCACTTTCTTGGCAGTAATTACGTACCACATTGGGACTTTTTAAATGATGAATTCTCTTGAAATATTTAACCTTATCTTTTTCAACTTTGTATATATTTTGTCTCCCCAGTTAGTGAAATGTGCTCTGTCCTGTACACAGTGCAGCTCAGTAATTATGTAGAAATTTTATAGCACTTTTAGTCTGGACCACACGGGCTTTGCCTAACTTAGGTTATAAATCCTTCAACAACGAGTATTGTATTACAGATTTCCTTCGGTATTCACAGTGCCTAGCTTACACTGAGAAAGGTTTTCAGGAAATACTTCCTTTAAAAAGTGTGGATAATGGAGGTGAACCTCTTTGGATGTCATCTGGGGGCCTTGAGCTCCGAGGGAGCCAGAGCAGAGAGCCAGGTTCCTTCAGACACACGCATACATTCACACACACAATCTTCGAAAGTATGTGCTTGATAGGGAGAGACATGTAAAGGTACCCCAAATTAATGCTGGGTATCCTTTATCTTTGGATTCGTTTAGCCCACTCAGTGAGTGAAATTAACTGTAATTTTTAAAAATGAGAGATTTTAACTAATTCAACCAACGTTTATTGATCCCCTGTTATTATAGTTTGTGAATTCGGTACATGTAAGAATCACTTAGGGCGCTTGTTAAAGAAGCAGAGCCTATGGCCAGCACCCAGAGAGTCTGCATCGGTCCACCTGGGAGAGCCCCCTGTGGAGCCCAGGAATCTGCATTTTCGCCAAGCGCCCAAGTGGTCACTTTGAGAAACCCTGCTCCCCGACGGACTGGCAGTGGCTCCTGGCTTCCAGTGCCTGGCTGCTGGATTGGCTCTGCTTGTGTTCTGAGTTGTTCTGAGACGAGGCGTGGTATGGTGTACTTTTTCCTGAGAAATACATTTCAAGCTAAAGATTAGGCAGTAATCGAAGACACTGAGGTAGTGTTTCCCAGGTCCCGTTTCTGTATTTTGAATTACAACTAAATATATCAAGTTGTAAGGTTTTGTTTCTTCTTCGTTGTTTCTTTAAGCCTGATGCTCCTTTTTAGTTCAGAGTGAGGTTACCTGCCGAAGACACGGAAGACCTGGGTCTTCAGGTGGGCACAGGTTCTCCCCATAGGGAGTCTGCCTGGGAACCAGAGCGTACTCAGACGGTTCCTGGGAGAGCATGGAATCACAGCCAGAGAGCTGGTATTTTTGCCAGTTACCGGTTTGTTGCTTCTCAGCTCCAAATCCATCCTTCTTGGCCTTGCTTTCCATCCTGGAGGCTGGACCGTGTAAGCATTTCTCCTGGTGCGCTGTTAGACTTTTATCAGTAGGGGGCGCTTGCGGGACGCTGCGGCTTCTCTCCTTGCTTGTGTGCCCTTTTCTTTTCCTCCTGCAAGACAGCCACCAGCAGCGTGCAGGAGGCCCAGCATCGCTCACTATGATGCTCTGGCAAACTGCTCTTCATCCAGTGGGCTGCAGCCGTGCCTGTTCCAACAAGGTCTGAAGCTCAGCCTGGGGGGAGCCAGTGCTCTTCCAGGACTCCCTCCTTGGGACACTCTCCTTCATCCCTGGCGGTGGGGCTACCTTCTGCATTTGCTGCTCCTGTATTTCTTAGCTTAGTAGTTAACCGCCTGTGGCTGGCTCATAATACTCTGTTAGAAATTCTCCCTGTTGAAATCACTGCTGTGGTTTCTGTCTCTTGGTTGGACTGTGATGATAAGGAACTAGTCCCAGGAGACAGACCCTCAAAGGGAGGGTTCTGGGATGGGTTTGGTCGTGACCTTGGATTTGACCTCCTGGCTGATAGGAAATGGGAGCTGAGTAATCCCTGCCCTCAGAGGCATCGCGGTGCATCAGATCGTCACCTGTGGTTGGTCGTGATGCAGTGCCGGTGAAAGTACGGGCCTCGGGAGCCCAAGTGGCTGCTGTGGCTGTGACGATTATAAGCACTGTGGTGTGGGGTGGATCCTCCTCAGGGCACTGGAGCACTTAGAGAAAGAAGTGACAATCTCAGGTCCTTTCATCCTCAGCTCATGTCACTGTCTGAGAACCAGAGAGCTTCCACCGTGGCTCTGACAGAGTCTCAGTTCCTGTAGCCACAGGGCTGGTACTGATGAAATCCATTTTCACAAATTTAATTGTGCAGGTTGCAGAATTACAGCGTCAGTTTCTCATGTGAAGATTAGTGGTGGTGTCTGCCTCTAGTCTGGACTGACTTACATAGTTATTAATGGCATTAGATTTTGAAGTCACCCACCAAAGGACCCATTGGTGAGCTGGGCAGATATTAGAAAGATTGATACCCAGTCCTGGCAAAAAGAGACTCTGTACACTGTTGGTGGGAGTGTCAACTTTTACAGCTCTCTTATCAACATCAAAAATGTACAGAGCCAGCCCTGTGGCCTAGTGGTTAAGTCCGGCATGCTCTGCTTTGATGGCCCAGGTTCGCGGGTTCAGATCCTAGGCATTGTCTTACACCGCTCATCAAGCCATGCTGTGGCGGTGACCCACATACAAAATAGAGGAAGACTGGCACAGATGTTAGCTCAGGGCGAATCTTCCTCACCAAAAAAGCCCCAAAAAACAATGTGCGTATGTAATTCCACATCTAGGGATTTGTCGTATAGAAATACTCCTACAAGAGAGCAGATTTATGTGCAGGAATGTCTGTTGCAGCTTCTTATTGCTCAAAATGGTCCCGACTGAAATGTGCTTTATTAGAGAATTTGTCAGACACGTTATGGTACATCCACATGGTGAATTCCTGTTTAGCCATTAAAAAGAATAAGGTAGATCTTGGTGTGTGGGTCTGAAAAAATACCTAAGATGCGTTGGTAAGTGATGAGAGTATTAACTCTATGAGGAATTATGATTCCGTTTTTGTTTTTTTTTAAACAATTACTGTATAGACAAAGGTCTGGAAGGATAAACACCAAGTTGTTAATAGTAGTAACTATTGTCATCTCCGGAGAGTAGGATGAATGAATGAATAACTAATCTTATCTTTAGAAAGCGGGAGTGTTAGGACCTTTCTCTATTTTTGTATTGTTTTTTTAATTACAGTGTCTTTTATCATCAGAAAAATAATCTTTTAAAATGTCTTATAACTAACATTTCCTATACACAGTAAGACGATGTTTGCAGAAATGGAAATCATTGGCCAGTTTAACTTGGGATTTATAATAACCAAACTGGATGCCGACATCTTCATAGTGGACCAGCACGCCACGGATGAGAAATACAACTTCGAGATGCTCCAGCAGCACACTGTGCTCCAGGGTCAGAGGCTCATAGCGTAAGCTCATTTCAGTGTTCGGAATTCTCTGTGTTGTTTCACCCCCACATTTAAAATCTAACAGCTTGTGTGTGTATGTATACATATATGTATATTTTTTGCCATAAACATCCCTACAGCAGATTTTTATCCTTTTTACATAATGGTAGTTATAGCTGCCATTTAATGGGTGCCTGTATGTACCAGGAATGTTGAAGCAATTTACATGTATTAATTCATTTAATCCTCACAAACCTGTGAGGTAGTCACTGTTACCATCAACATTTCACAGGTGGTGAAGCAGGTGCGCACAGAGAGGTTCAATAACTTACCCATGGTCACATAGCTGTGTTCTTTAAGTATCACACCTTTTTAGCTATTAAAAAATGTTGATCACTGGTCGGCCAGAAAATCCTTTTGGTGAAGTGCAATTTATAGTATGTAGAATTTCTGTTTAGAGTATGTAGAATTGGTTTGTTCAGAAAGAGCACAGCCTGTGTGTCCGTCCTCAGCTGTAGTAGATGAATTCCAGTGATTCGATAGTCACTGCAGAATTTGGTATTTCTCTCTCTTTTGCCAAATTGAATGTTCTACTCTGACCACTTCATAAGATGGTGTGATAGGATATCATGTCGACCAGAAGTCTCTTCTTCTTTTTTTTTTTTTTTGAGGAAGATTAGCCCTGAGCTAACTGCTGCCAATCCTCCTCTTTTTGCTGAGGAAGACTGGCCCTGAGCTAACATCCATGCCCATCTTCCTCTACTTTACATGTGGGATGCCTGCCACAGCATGGCTTTTGCCAAGCGGTGCCATGTCTGCACCCGGGATCCGAAGCGGCGAACCCCGGGCCACCAAAGCGGAACGTGTGCACTTAACCGCTGCGCCACTGGGCTGGCCCCCAGAAGTCTCTTCTGAGGCAAAGCTGTAAGAAGAGGTCATGGATTTTCACTTGGGAAATTAAACTACCTAGAGAAATAAATTCAGATCCCAAAAGCAGCAGATCTCAGCATGAAGAACTGTGCCGCTGAAACAGTCACGCAGCTGGGAAATAGCCCGAGTTCCTGGTGCTCTGTTCCCTGTGGAGTGGTTTAATGATGCCTGTTTTCAGTAGGAGTAAATGGGAATGGTGAAGACGTTTAACACGCTGCTTTGTAATACTGAAATGTTCCTGCTCCTCTGGGAGAGGTCTTCTACTTTCTAGCTACTTTGCATACATAAGGTCTCGTATGTAGCATTTCAAGTTGACCCAGGTAATCCCAGGCTTCCGTGGGTCCCGGGTGGACCATAGGCAAGATGAAAGGAAGAAGGCCACAGTTGCATTCTGTCCTCCCGGGCCCTGCCCAGTTTGGCCCTGAGGACCTCGTTCCTCAGCCCCCTTCTCCTTGCTCTCTATACTTGAGCCACACTGGCCATCTTTCGTTTTCCCGTGACAACCCCAGGAATTCCTACATGGCCATGCAGAAGAATGAAGCGGATCTTTATATGTGGCTCTGGGAACACCAGTGCTCCATCACAGGGCCTTCGCACAGACTGTTGTCTCCACCTCGAACACTTGTCCCTGCACCCACCCCTCACCCCCATTGCCGGGGTACTGCCCCTCACCCCCAGATCTCAGCTCGAAGGTCACTTCCTCAGAGAAGCCTTCCCTGATCCCCTCTCCCTCTGGGTCGAGTCTCACTTGCTCTGTGCTCTTCTGGCACCGGCATCTCTTCTTCCTGATTCTCAGTGTAGTTTGTAACGATAATTTATTTCTCTGGTCAATGTCCTTCTTCCCCACTGCACTGTTATCCCGTGAGGGCAGACACCGGGTCTGTGTGTACTCGCCACAGTATCTCCTGCCGTTAGCAGTGTCTGCCTGCTTGAGCACTCGGGAAATCCAGGAGGAGAGCTGGGTGGATAAGGGATAGATAAATAACGCAGGCACAGGAAGGAGCAGGATAGCAAGACAGGTGCTCTTTATTCTGTTTTCAAATGCCTGTAGTGACCTAACCCAGCCTTTCAAATTGTCTTTATTGTGAGGGAGAAAAACAGCATTTTTATATAATACTGTTATCTTTAAAGAGGGGATTCAAAAAAAAGACCGGCTCATTGGGGTGGGCTGGCAGATCGAGGAAAAGCAAACTACTGTTGTAGTTTTTCTAAAAGGAACTTTAAAAAAGCAAGCCAAAAGGAAATTCTCAGAGAGCTTTGAGACAGGAAAGGCACACAGCTGCGTACAGTGTTATTCATGTTGCTTTTTGGAGTGAATTCCAAGAATCGCAGTATTGTTGTAGTTTCATTTCTGCCTTGTAGGTCAGTGTTTGACTTCAAAATGTGGTCCGAATCTCTTCTGTTTTCAGACCGCAGACTCTCAACTTAACTGCCGTCAATGAAGCTGTTCTGATAGAAAACCTGGAAATATTCCGAAAGAATGGCTTTGATTTTGTTATCGATGAAGGCGGTAAGTTACTACTTAGGACTATAGAATTGTGTCCTTTTAGAGCGGAGAACAATCTTTGAGGTCATATGGATCAGCGTATTTCATATCAGATGACAATTGTCCCCCGAAAAGCATTTTGCTTCTGCCTTCTCTTTCAAATGTTCATTACAAGTAGCACTCAAATGAAAGGCATGTTTCAAATAATGGGTTTTTCTCCAAATTTTATTCTTTTAGCTCCAGTCACTGAAAGGGCTAAATTGATTTCCTTGCCGACCAGTAAAAACTGGACCTTTGGCCCTCAGGACGTAGATGAACTGATCTTCATGCTGAGTGACAGCCCTGGGGTGATGTGCCGGCCTTCCCGAGTCAGGCAGATGTTTGCCTCCAGAGCCTGTCGAAAGTCTGTGAGTAGAGAAAGCTCGTCTGCTGGGACTGGTCAGTTCTTCTCCTGACCAGTCAGCGTTGTTAAAAGTGGCTGTGATTGCCCTGGGTCGTTGACATATAGAGCCACATTGCCCTCTGCCATGATAACATAGGAGCTCAACACGTCTGCATTGTCTTTGACCTCTGACCCGTAATTATTGCTCTTTACTTCCATTAAACAGTATCCCAGCATGCTTAGCTATTTATTATGCACACTGCTCCTTTATGGACCTTCTGGGTTTGAACCACATTGGTAGATAAAGATCTGCTGCCAGGCCTAAAGGACACGCACAAGGTTATGCCGAGTCCCTCCGTCAGCAAGCATTTCACAGGCTGCGCCATGAAATTCCACTGCCGCTGCTCAGATTGGTGCGGACAATGGTAGCAGTAGTTTGTGATTAGCCTGACGTCAAAGTAAAGTAAGTGAACCTGTGTCACTGGCCTGTAGGCACAGCCAGGACGCCATTCCTTCATTTATTCAACAGGTATTTCTTGAACCCCTGCTGTAAAAAATAACGACAACCTCAGATACCAGTAAGTTCACTAAAGAAATTAAAGCAGCGTTGGGGTAGGGAGTGAGCACAGAAAAATGAGGTGAACAGTTGAGATGGGTGGTCAGGGGAAGACCGACTGAGGAGGTGACGTCTGAGCTGACGCTCGGAAGGTGAGACGGAGCCCCCTGGATGAGAACTTTTCAGATAGAAGAACTAGCGAGTGCAGAGACTTGGGGTGTCTGGGGAAGCCAGAGGTGGACCCGCGTGACTGGAGAGCGCACCAGGATGAGAGCAGAGCGGCGTCCAGAGGACCCCCATAGGGTCTTGCAGATCCCGGTCAGAACCTGAGAGTTTGTGCTGCACGGGTGGGAGGTGCTGGAGGGTTGGAGTGGAGAACAGTCTTAAGTCGGGGGTGTCCCGTAACGGAAACAAGGGAGCAGGGCAAGAGCAGCAGCTTTTTCACATTTGCAAGTGGGAAGGGTTGGAGTTCTGTCTTAGCCGGGTTGTGTTTGCGATCCCCTGGGACTCTAAGTCGGGGTGTCTGAAAACAGCCGTATTGATGACTCTCAAGCTTAGGGGAAGTGTCCGTGCTGGAGATAAGTTGAGCTGTACTTTACAGCCACGGGATTGGGTGAAATCTCTCAAGGGAAAAGTGTAAGTAGAGCAGAGACTGAGGCCCAGGACCTGACTTGCAGCCACAGATAGTTCTTTGATAAAGACCTAGCATTGACCTTCCAGTCCTGGAGTCTGAGTGAGAGGTAGAGCTGGGACTGGCTGTGCTAATGGCCAGGCATTTCAAGTTCTGTCTTGCGTGACTCGGAGATCTTTGGAGCCGCAGGCTGTCCTTCACTCCCCGCCCTGGCGAGTCCAGCGTGCTGCAGCTCTTCGTCGCCCACGAGCGCCCCTGCTGACTGGGGTGGGCTTTCCCGAGGGCCTGTGCTCCAGGCCCTGCCTGCGCTTCCGGCGCCGGCGCCGTCTGCTCTGCCCCAGACCACCGTCACACTGGCCTCCCTCCTGCCTCGAGCCCCTTGTGCTTGCCGGTCCCTCCGCCTGGATTCTCAGCCTCCCATCCTTCTTCACATGCCTGGCTCCCTCCCGGCCTCCAGCCCTGAGCGCCCCACCGCGGTAGCCTCCCCCGGGTGGTGCTTGCTTCTCTGTTAGCTTGTTTCTTGCCTGTCTTCCTCCGACGTGGCCACACCCTGCTGGATATCTCGCCTCCATAGGACTGCCTGGCTCATGGAAGAAAGTGACAGAAAAGTTCAGGATTGTCACCTCTTGCCATCTCTCCGTGTTTCTCAGGGTCTCAGTTTCTCTGTACTTGCTGGGGAGTCTGCTCATGTCCACGAGTATGTCAGATGGTGATATGTGCTGTGGGGAAAAAGCGGGGCCAGGGCTCAGGAGGGCTAGACAAGGAGGGTTGTTTCACTGAGAGGAGACAGGGATGTTGTACAGAAGCCCGAAGGGAGAGGGGAAGTGGGACGTGCAGACTTTTGGGGAAAGAGCATCCCTGGCCTGGGGGATAGCCAGTACCAAGGTCCTGAGGCAGGTACTTGCTTTATGTACTTTCAAGAGAGGACGGGGCGCCAGTGGGGCTGGGGTTGGGGAGGGTGTGCGGGCACAAAGGCCAGTGAGGGCCAATCAGGTGATGCGCTTGGGCTTTTATTCCCTGAGAGGGGAGAACCAGGAAGAGGAGCCGCGTGCTCTGGCACACCTTTAAAAGGAATCTCTGGGTGTTTTGCGGAGAACGGCTTGAAGGGCTCAAGGGGGAGCGGCTGCAGTTGCCGGGAGGGCGGTCATGCTGGAGCTGAGACTGGTGGGTCCTGGACAGGTGTGGTCGGGTCTCTAGAAAGGTGTGCTGCCCTGGAGGAGCCATGGAGGGCCGGGTCTCACAAAAAGTGGAGGGCTGGGCTCTTTGAAGGTAGGTGCTCGGGGCAGTTTTTCTGGGAACATTGTTTTTGAGTTGTGATCTTGTCCAGTTTTGTTGAAGGGAAAAGTGCTTCTGAAGAGTTGCTGTTCTATCAAAAACCAGTCCGAGTTCCCTTCACGCCATTGTGTCTGTGTTCAGGTGATGATCGGAACCGCGCTCAACGCGAGCGAGATGAGGAAGCTCATCACCCACATGGGCGAGATGGACCACCCCTGGAACTGCCCCCACGGAAGGCCCACCATGCGGCACATCGCCAACCTGGACGTCATTTCTCCAAACTGATGGCATTCCTCAGTTTTTAGGACTCTAGATTTTATCGCAGCTTTTTCTGTTTTGAAAGACAGGGTTTTAACTAGCCATTTTTGTTTGTTTGTTTCGAAATTAACCGGCTCCTTAAACAAAGTACTAGATCCATTTAGAAATGACCTAGAGATCCTTTTTAAATCATGTGGAGCGTTGCTTGCACATTTTTTGTTCTGCATTTGAATGTGTGTGTGTGCGTGTGCGCGTGTGTGCAGGCGAGAGCATGTTGTACAAAAATGGGAAGAGCACTTGCGGAGTGACCCAGGCCTCTGCTCTGGCCGGACGTGCTTTAGGCTCCAACTCTCAGCCTTTAATGATGACAAAATTCATAATGGTTTCGTTTCATAAATGTAAAATTATGGCCTTTTGGGATTAGTGGTTCTCAACCCTGATGCTCGTGAAATTTAAAAAAAGGAATAATCCAGAAAACCCAAGGGGGATTCTCTGCCCGGCTGGAAGAAAACCGGGTGGGGCTGAGGTCACTATTTTTAGATGTTCCCTGGCACAGTCAGGGTGGCAAAGCACTGTTGTAGGCAAGGGAAAATAAAAGACTTTGAGTTTCCTGTAACCTTAATGCTGCGATGTGGTTTCCTTGGGGTGTGGACTGCAGGACATTCTCGTTACTGGCTCTGAGTGGTACTGGAGATAGAAGACGGTTGGCAAATAGTTTTCCATGGAATCTCGTCCCATTTGAACTCTGACAGAAATGGAAGTAAAAATGCCCTCTGTGGAGTCCAGACAGCAGTCGGTGTACACTGACCAGTGTGGACCACTCCCTGCTCTCGCCCTCCCTGCCCAGGCCGTGGGCCTCTGGGAGACGGCTTCCCTTCGCAACTTAGAATTCCTTAGATGCCACAGTTCAGTCAAGGAATAATTATTGCCATTTGTGTAAAGCACTGTGCTGGTGTGCCCGTCTGCAGGATCTCACTTAATAGTCACAAGAAGTGCAAGTTGGGAATTGTAGGGGGCCCCCAAAGACAGCCGCATCCTAATCCCAGAACCCTTGGATGTGTGACCTAAAGGGCCAAAGGGGCTCTGCAGATCGGATCAAGGGGAGGCTGGTGAAATGGGGACCGTGTCCTGGATTGGCTGGGTGGGCCCAGTCTAGCCCGTGACTTCTTAAATGTGGGGAACCTTTCTCAGCTGGGCCAGAAAGATGCAACCTTCCCGGTTCAAAGATGGAGGAAGGTAGCCTCCAGAAGCTGGAAAAGGCAGGACATGGATTGTGCCCTGGTGCCTCCAGAAGGAACCAGCCCTGTTGGACTCCTAACTTACAGGACCGTAAGATGATAAATTTGTGTTGCTTCCTGCCACTAAGTTTGTGCTAACTTGTTTACGGCAGCAGTGGAAAACTGAAGCCCGACTCCTTCCCGTTTTGGTGCAGTAAAGCCTGAGAGAGGTCACGCGACGATGAGCAGAGCTGGGAAAGCCCAGTTCAGGTGCATCGGCTCCAGATTTCCACCTAACCTTCTGGACCAGAAGGGCAGAGTGCTCACTGATGCTCAGTGCCTTCTCCGACGCGCGCGGCGGCCCCTTTAAGGGTGGGCGGGGAGGGGCTGGGCCCGCGGTTGCCTGGAGACCGGCCAGGTGGGACGCGCAGCCCAGGCCGGCTCTCCCTCGGCCCAGCTGCCGCGCCCCCAGGAGCCGAGCAGGTGCGGGGTGGGCGAGGAGGGCCTTAGGACGGGCGGAGAGCGCGGGGCTCCCCAGGCCAGAGGGCGCGCGCCCCTTTAGTGCTGCCTAAGGAAAGAAAGGACAGTCCCAATGATAGGTCTCAGGCCAGGGAGAACAGGGAAAACACCAACGGTAGTAGGAAACACGCTGGGAGAAACGGAGCTTGCCTGATTTGTAGTTCGGATTTCGCGGACGAGGGATCAGAAAGCCTAGAGGAAAGGCCCGCTCGAGTTTAGAAACTAGAGAGCTGGGGGCGGGGGGCTGGAAAGAGGAGTGGGTTTTGAAGCAAGAGAGAAGCGGGCCAAGGTTGGTTGGTTGGTGAGAGCAAAGCCGAGAGGTGGGGATGAGCTGGCGGGTGGGGTGTCCAGAGGATGCCATCCAGGCAAAGGAGGGCGGGGGAGGGGTAGGGGTGCCCACTGCACCCTCGGGGCGTGCTAACAGAGACTTGCCTTGTTACGCTCCAGGACTCATCCACGTGTCCTGCTTGATAGGCTAGGATGCTTTCTGTGGGGCCAGTTTTTGGAGGGCCAAGCAGACAAAGGCTTTGGAGCCCTGCCCATCAGCTCTGCCCCCTTAGACAAATGATTAGCCCTCCCTTTCTTGTCTGGCCCAGGAGGCACTCAGTCAGGGATGGTACTGACAAAGGGAGTAGGCAGCCAATGGTTCCAAGTTGGAAAACAGGAAAGTGACATAAAATAACCCCTCCGTTGTTGGTTGTGCACTGTGTCCCCTACTTTAGGTATCTTGTGCATCATCTCATTTAGTTCTTATAATGAGACAGGGCACTGGCATTTTTATGTTGTACCTGAAGCAGAAAGAGATCAGGTAACTTGCTCAAGAATACTCAGCTGGTAGGAGCGATCCAGGAGCCTGAATCCAGCACGTGAGCACTTTTCATCACAGGAATACCCCTCTCACTGGAACACAGTTTAAAAAGAATGGTAGATGTGGTTCCAATTTTAAAAATTTTAGGAACAACCAATGCCATATTGAGATTGTCTTATTTTTAGAAAAGGTGATACTTGTGATTAATTTTTCAAGCTTTAGGAGGAGAATGATAATGACATAGTGTTGTAAAGCTAAAAGTTTAACTGCAAGTGAAACGTCTGAGTATTTAGAGACGTAATTTTTTATTTTTCAGATAAAACTCTTCAATGCTTTGAAACAAACAGCTGTCAACCAAAGGAATCATTTGATACTGACATACCTGAAGTAAACTTTAGGTCTTCCAAAGGCAATGGTGAAAGAAAAGAAAAGAGCAGACAAAAAAGGGGATAAGTCTGCCCGCTCTCCATCCACTCTCTCTGATTATCCAGAGTTTCCCAAACAAGGTGGCAATGCTGCTAGACAAGAAATGTCCCCCAGTGTTGTCCCACTGTTGGAAATGCAGCTCAGCGAACGGGGATTCAAAAGAGAGTCTGAACACCAGCAGAATGAAGATGCCACTCAGTATGAGGAGCCCATTCTGACCAAACTCATAGTTGAAAGGTGACTGGAATGGGCTGTGTCTTCCATGCTGCCTTTTCTACCACATTTACACTCTCTGTTCTCTTTCTCGGCAATCTCTTATTGTCGCTTTATCTACTATCTCCCTAGATGACTGAAAATCTGTGTCTTTAACAGCATTCTCTCTCCTAGAGTTTTAGGTTCAAATTTTTAACTCCCTACAGGGCATCGTCCACTGGACTTCAAACTCCCCGTGTCCAAAAGCAAAGACTGCAGGACTTGGAATAAGATGTGGATTTGAGTCTTAGCTTGATGATATCAACCTCGTCATTGAACCTTTCTGAACCTCGGATTCTTAATTGGGGAGAATATGCACTTTAAAAGTTTCCTCTGAATATTGCTGTTTCTCTCCCTGCCGTTGGCTTCCCCATTGGTCCCTGTTTCTGTAAGGCCACCACCATTTTCCTACATCCAGGCTTGAAATCGTAACACTATCCTCTGCCTTCCCTGTGCCTTCCTTGTTTTTTTTTTTTCCCTCTAAGCTTCTCTCCTTAGTCCTTTTCTCTCTGTGTACACTCTTCATTTCCTCTTGACTGGGCTATTGGACTCGTTTCCTAAAGATTTCCCCGCTTCTGGTCTCTCTCCCCAGGCCTCCTGCATAGATTTGTATTCCTAGTCCATGGTTCTGTTTACATCGCTCCCTGTATTAGTTATCTCTCTGTGTAACACATCACCCCAAAACAGGACAATTAAAACAGTCAGTATGATCTCACACAGTTTATGGGGGTCAGGAATCTGGGAGCAGCTTAGCTGGATGGTATTTGGTGAGCATCTCATGAGGTTCAGTCAAGATGTCAACTGGGGCTGCTGTCATCTGAAGGCTTGTCTGGGCTGGACAATCTGCTTTCAAAGTGGCTCCCTGGCGTGGCTGTTGGCGGGAGGCCTCACCTTGTTTCTTTGTCACAGGGACTCTCCACAGGGAGGCATGAATGTCCTCACAACATGGCAGAGAGCCATCCAAGAGAGAGCAAGGGCGGAATGCACGGTATCTTTCATGGCCAGTCTCAGATGTTACCCCCTGTCATGTTCACAACATCCTAGTGGTTACACGGGCCAGCCCCATTCAGTGTGAGAGAGGACGACACTTGGGCATGAAGACCTGGAGCTGAGAATCATTGGGAGCCATTTTGAAGTTGGCTACCCAACGCTTCTTAAGAACTTCTGATTTCTTTCCATTGTCTACAGGATAAAACACCTTCGCCTTGTGCTCTGACCCCAGCCTTCCTCTCCCCTCCCAACACAAGAGCCCAGTTAGACTTCTCTCCATGATCCCGTTTGTTTTTAATCTCTGCTTGCAAAGATTGCCCTTACTGGATTTTGTTGCTCATTTCTGTTTCTTTTTTTTTTTTTTTGAGGAAGATTAGCCCTGAGCTAACATCTGCCACCAATCCTCCTCTTTTTTTGCTGAGGGAGACTGGCCCTAAGCTAACATCTGTGCCCATCTTCCTCTACTTTATATGTGGGATGCCTGCCACGGCATGGCTTGATAAGCAGTGTGTAGGTCCACACCTGGGATCCAAACCGGTGAACCCCAGGCCACTGAAGCAAAGCATGCTAACTTCACTGTGCAACTGGGCTGGCCCCTGTCCCTCATTTCTGAATGACCAAATCCCATCCCCCCTTTTCCACTAATTCTTCCCAACAGGAAGTAACTTTCCTCCAAATTTCTTCTAACATACTTATTACTTTCTATTATATATTACTTTATACATAATATATATTATTTTCTATTCCATACATATATATTATGTATGAATTACTGTAATTTGTTTATTGGCTTCGACTGCTCCACCAGGCTGACAATTCCTTCAGTGCAGAGATACACCCAGAATACCACACACCAGAGCTTCGGCCCGGCAGGTGCTCAGTCAGGATTTATAGTTTGAATGATATCAGCAGCCCTTTATTAACGAGTCACGCTGTGCCAGCAGTGGGCCGAGCACTATAGAAGGATACAAAAAAGTATGAAATAAGGTCTGTATAGGCAGTGTGTAAGTGTGTTCCACGTTGTGCTGGTTTTAGAGAAACTCAGAGCAGAGTGTCGGTAAGTGTGCTGAGCTAGTTCAGGGAAGGTGGGCCCTCTGGTCCCCTGACACAGGAACCAGAGGAATTGAATATCCTGACACAGAGCGTGTCCCCATCCGGGCCGAGAGCACCTGGAAATGTGTGGAAAGGTGTGAGGAGGGAATGACGGGAGGTGTCATTGATATCACTGAAGGGACCTATTATGAATTCTTTTTAAAATCCTTTACAGTGTCTTTATCCATCATTTTAAATGACTGAAGTACTGTATACTCGTTGTGACAAATGAAATAATGCAAAGATATCTTAAGGGAGTTAATCATCTCCCTCCACCGGTATTCCAATTTCACCCTCGCTGCCCGCTCCCATGAGTTA